GTTATCCATACAGTCAAATGCCTGTGCATAGTCAATAAAGCATAAATAAGCATTCATCTGGTATTCTTCACTTACAGCCAGGATCCATCTGACATTAGCAATGATATCACTGATGTCATGGCCTCGTCTAAATCCTGCTTGAAATTTTGGCAATTCTCTGTTGATGTTATAGCTATTTTCAAATAATCTTCGGCAATATTTTGCTTGCATGTAGTAATGATATTGTTCAGTAATTTCCACATTCTGTTGGATAACCTTTCTTGGGAATGGTAACAAATAGGAATCTCTTCTAGTCAGTCAACCAGTCCTTCAGATTTCCTGGCATAGACTGGTGAGCACATCCAGGGTTGTTATCTGTTAGTTAAAACATGTCAGCTGGTAGCCATTGATTCCTGGGCCTTATTTTTTGCCATTGTCTGTCTTCACTGCTGCTTGAACTTCCTTCATTACCATTGGTTCTTGATCTTATGGTACTTCCTGAAATATTTCAGTGTCAGCCTGTTACTTTTGGCATAGTGATTCTTTGTAGTCCTTCCTTCTTCTTTTGCTCTTTCCTGCATCATCTTAACAGTTCCTCCATAGCATCTCTCAGTATTGCAATTCAAGGCTTGAATTTGTTTTTTCAGTTCTTTCAGCTTGAGAAATGTTTAGTTCTTCTCTTTTTTATTTTCCAATTCCAACTCTGCATATTCCCTTATAGTAGTTTCTTTGTCTTCTCGAGCTGTCCTTTGAAATCTTCTGTTCAGCTCTTTTACTTTAGCATCTCTTCCCTTTGTTTTGGTTTCTCGATGCTGGAGAGAAATTTTCAGAGTCTTTTCTGACATCCATTTCAGTTTTGACCTTTTGCTTTCCTCATGGATGATATCCCTGATGCCATCCCACAATTCATCTGGTCTTCAAGCATTGGTGTTCAATGCTTCAAATCTATTCTTAAGATGATTTTAAAATTCAGGTGCGGTAGACTCAAGATCATATTTTGGTTTTCATGGGCTTATTCTATTCCCTTTAGCCTCAGTTAGAACTTGCACATGAGTAACTGATGGTCTTTTCCACAGTCCACACCTGGCCTGATTTTGATTGCTGATAGTGAGCTTCTCCAGCATTTCCTTCCACAAATGTAGTCGATCTGATTCCTGTGCTTTCCATCAGGTGAAGTCCATGTGTAAAGTTACCATTTGTGGTGGTTTGTTTTTTTAAAAATGTATTTGCCATAGGGGAGTTCTGGTGGCCTAGTGACAAGAAGCTGCAACTACAATCCCAGAGGTGCATGGTTCGAATCCACCAGATGCTCTGCCGAGGGAGGAGGGACAAGGGACAATCTCCTCCTGTACCAGTCAGATCTGATTTGATGGTACACACACACAAAAATAATAACATTTTTAAAAAAATGTATTTGCCATGAATAAATCATTGAATATACAAAATTTCATCATTCTAGTTCCAGTCTCATTTCCGTATTTTCCAACTATCATTCTTCCTTAATTGTTTCCAACTTTAGTGTTCCAGTCACCAGTTATCATTAATGCATCTTGTTTGCACATTTGGTCAATTTTGAACTGCAAAATTTGGTGGAAATCTTCAGTTTGCTCCTTTTTGACTTCAGCTATTCGTGTGTATACTTGAATGACAGTCATATGAACAGGTCTTCCTTGTATGCATATGGATAATATACATTATCATTGATTATGTTCCTATACAACCATCACTATTATCCGTTCCCAGATTTCCTCATCACCTTTAGTAGAAGCCTGCTCTACGAACTGTCTTCTCTTTCTCTTGCTTTCTGATAAATGCTAATGAACTTAGGTATATACATGTTTCCCTAGTCTAGATATTTCATTTAAGTGGACCTTTTGTAACTGATTGACTTCACTCAACGTAATGGATTATTCCTTCCCTTTTTATTACAATTTAAGACAAAGTTTACAAAGCAAATTGGGTTTCCTCAGTATCTTTTTAAAAGATTCATCTATGTCATAACCTATGTCAAGACTTCATTTCTTGTTATGGCTGAGAGATATCCCTTTGCGTGGCTGTACTGTGTTTTATTTATCCATTCAGCTGTTGATGGGCATTTGGATTGTTTCTACTTTGGCTCCTGTGGACACTGGTGTATATGTTAATGTTTGTATCCCAGTTTCTGAGTCTTTGGGAATATTCCTGTGAGTGGGATTGCTGGGTCATGTATCTCTATGGGAGAAAGACCCAACAATTGGCTTCTATAAAGATTACAACCTAGAAAGTCCTGTGGAGCTGTTTTTATCTGTCACATCAGGTCACTATGAGTCAAAATTGACTCACTACCACCTAGCAATAACAATAGAATTACAATAGTAATTCTGTGTTTAATGTTTGGGGGAACCTCCAAACTGTTTTTACAGGGGTGTCCAGGTGCTAATTCCTCCAAGTCCTTGTCAACAGTTCTTTTTTTTTTTTTTCATTTTGTCTGACAGTGGGAGTGGAGTGGTTTCCCATTGTGATTTTAATTTCTATTTTCCTAATGACTAATGACTTTAAGTGTGTTTTTATGTGCATGTTGGTTGTTTTTATAACCTCTTTGGAGAAATGTCTATTTGAGGTCTTTGCCTATTTTTTGATTGGCTTGTTTGCCTTTTTGTTGTTGAGTTCTTACCTATTCAGGATATTAAACCCTCATTAGACATATTATCCCCAAATAGTTGCTATCACTCTTTATGCTGTCTCTTCACTTTATTGATATAACCCTTTGTTGCAGAAAAGCTTTTCATTTGTCTTAACATATTTTCTTGTCTGTGTTGTTGAGATAATACACAGCAAAGCCTATACCAGTTTCTTTCTTCATGGACAGTTCAGTGACATTGGTTACATTCTTCATATTGGCTCTCCATCCCCACCCTGTTTTCAGAGCTATTAACTCCATTAATATAAAACTCCCTGTCCACCAAGGTCCCTTTATGATCTTTCACATTGCTGATTTCACCCTGTTCCCATAGTCTCTCTCTCTCATTACCATCAAGTCAGAACAGGCTTGTTCATTGCTGACCATTTAGCAGGTTTTCAGAAACTATTGATCACATAGGAAGAGATTGCCTGTCTTTCTCCTGAAGAGAAGCTGGTAGACTTGAACCACTTGCCTTTGAGGTGGCAGTGCAACTCTTTACCCACTAGGCCACCACAACTCTCCTGACTTCACATGTTGTTATTGTTATTGTTGTTGTTGCTGAGTACTGCCAGGTTGGAAGGGACCCATTTAGCTGACCCTCCAGCAGGTTTTAGGAGGCTGTAAATTGCATAGTAGGAGAGTGCCCATCTTTTCCCTGTGGAATGGCTGGTGTATATGAATCACGTCCTACCACATATGTTGTTATGTGCTGTTGAGTTGCCTGCGACTCGTAGCCCTGAAGGCTGCTCTGTCCTGAGCCAGTCTCACTGACTCTGACACACCTACCCCCCTTGCCCTAGTTACTGTATCAATCCACCTCATCTGGGTTCTTCCTCTCCTGTGCTGTCCCTCCATCCTTCCAAGCATGATGTCCTTCTCCAAGGACTGCTCCCTCCTGGCCACATGCCCAAAATATGTGAGACAGAACTTCAGAATCCTAGCCTCCAAGGAGAAACTTGGTTTCCCTTCTCTAAGACAGAAGTCCAGGCTGGGTTTAGAAGGGGTCATGGTACTAGGGATATTGTAGCTGATATTAGATGGATCTTAGCTGAAAGCAGGGAATACCACAGGAATGTATATCTGTGTTTCATTGACTATGCAAAGGCATTTGACTGTGTGGATCATAACAAACTGTGGCTGACTCTGAGAAGAATGGGAATCCCAGAACACTTGATCGTTCTAATGTGAAACTTATACTTGGACGAGGAGGCAGTCATCAGAACAGAGCAAGGGAACAACAACAACATACTGTCAAATGAGATCTGATTGGTTGTTGTTGTTGTTGTTGTTGTTATGTACCTTCAAGTCGCTTGCGACTCATAGCAACCTTATGTACAAGAGCTCTAAACACTGTTCTATCCTGTGCCAACCTAGCCATCTCAAACACACTCATTCCCACCACTCCACTCACAGAATCGATCCATCTCATCGAAGGTCTTCCTCTCCTTTGCTGCCCCTCCACTCTGATGTCCCTCTCCAAGGACCAGTCCCTCCTTGCAACATGCCCAAAGTATGTCAGACGAAGCTTCAGAATCCTTGACTCCAAGGAGCATTCTGGCTTCACCTTCTCTAGGACAAGCCTGTTTTTTCCCCTAGCAGTCCATGGTATATTCAACACTCTTCTCCAGCACCACAGCTCAAAGGCATCAATTCTCTGTCAACCCTATTCACTGTCCAACTCTCTGATGAATAGCACGTAATTGTGAAGACTATAGCCCGGATCAGGCTACCTTAGCCTCCAGCCTGACATCATTGCTCTTCAGTATTCTTGAGAGGTCCCTAACAGCCAACTTTCCCAGTGCAATTTGTCTTTTGATTTCCTGGCTGCTGTTACCAAGAGTGTTGACTGTGGAGGCAAGTAAACTAAAACTGTTAACTATCTCAATCTCTTCGCCATCCATACTGATGCTGCCAATTGGCCCAGTGGTGAGAATCTTTGTTTTCTTGATGTTGAGCTTCAATCCGTGTAGGAGGCTGCAGTCCTTGACCTGAAGCAAGCGCTTCAGATCCTCCTCATTTTCAGCAAGCAGGGTTGTGTCATCTGCATAATGCAGGTTGTTGATGACTCTTCCACCAATCCTGACTGGTACAGAAGAATATTGCCCCTCCTTCTCCAGCAGAGCATCTGGTGGATTTGAACCATGTACCTCTGGGATTAAAGTGCAGATTCTTGCCACTAGGCCACCAGAACTCCCTGCCCCTTGTTCTTATTGATCCCCATTACTCTCCTTGTTTATCAGATGAAGGTATGGAGGCCACACTCACAAACTCGAGGTCCACGGCTGGGCCTTGGGCTCTGTGGACGTTGTTGGTGGTGACTAAGCAGAGCTGATGATGATGTGTGTCTCTTCCACTGCAGACGTCTGCGCCTTCTGCCATAAGACTGTGTCCCCCCGAGAGCTGGCTGTGGAAGCCATGAGGAGACAGTACCATGCCCAGTGCTTCACCTGTCGCACCTGCCGTCGCCAGCTGGCTGGGCAGAGTTTCTACCAGAAGGACGGACGGCCCCTGTGTGAGCCCTGCTACCAGGTAACTAACCCCTGAGGCCTCCAGGTGCCAGTTCCTGAGCTGTGCACTTGGACAGTATTGCAGTATTTCATCCCCACAGCTCTAGAAGGTGGCATTTTGACCCATTTCACAGATGGCTTTGTGGAAGCTCAGTGCTAGGATGTGCTATTTCTTTTGGCTACAAATGATCACAAAAATTGTTGGCTTATCACAACACAACACAACACAACACAACACAACACACAATTCTAGAGGTCAGAAGTCTGAAACCATTCACGGGGCCAAACTCAAGGTTCTGTTGGGAGGCCTGCAGCCCTTCTGCAGGCTGTAGGAGAGAAGCTTTTCCCTGCCTGCATGCCTTGGCTCCTGGCCTCCTCCTCCATCCTCAAAGCCAGTAGCGTCTTGCTTTAGTGGTCATATTTGCTTCTGCTGACTCAAATCTCCCTCTTACAAAGTCCCTAATGATTACAGATCAACCAGATCAGATTGTGCCAACCCACTTCAGATCAAGATCCTTAGCTTAATCACACCTGCAATGTTTCTTTTGCACACAAGGTGACACTCACAGGTTCCTGGCATCAGGCCTGACACATGAAGTCACTCTATAGAAGGTGATGGAGCTGAGATTCTGCCCTCCTCTGTCTGATTCTGGATCTGCCATGGTCTCTCCACCCTCTTACTTGGAACTGCCAGGTTCCAGGTGCAGGATCTCATGGGGGGATCTTGTGCTGCTTCTGAGTACCAAGCCCAGACTGGGATGGCTGGTGTGCATTCTGAGCTGTTGGAATTTCCAACTCCTGGATGTTTCTTGGTTATGTTTTTCAGTTTGGTATATAAACCACTTATACCTGTGGCGGAGTGTGTGTGTGTGTGTGTGCGCGCGCGCGCGCGCGTGCTTGCGCTTTTTCTTTTTCCCCAATACTTTACAGTGTTTTGTGAGAGCTCTGGTGGCCTAGTGGTAACTGCACTATAATCCCAAAGGCACGTGGTTCGACTCCACCAGCTGCTCCTCAGGAGAAAGATGGACAAACTCCTCCTGTGTGATTTACTGTGTCGGAAAACTCACTAGAGGGGCAGCTCTGGGTTGGTTCCAACTTGACACGTAAAAACGACAACTGTGGTTTCAGTAAAAGCTTACATAGCAAATTAGATTCTCATTTAACTATTTTATGACCTATGACACTGGCTACAGTTTTTTAAAGGATTTGAATTTCTTTTAACTTAAACATGGGATTTGATTTTTGGCAAATTACTATTTTTTTGTGTTGTGGTTTAAGTGACAGCTTCCAAAGCAAATTGGCTTTTCATTCAACCACCCATGCCCATTTTGTTTTGTGCATTGTAATACTCTCAATGTAATAAACTTTTTTCCTACTTCCTCCCTATAAGTCTCATTTCCACTAATCTTTTTTTTTTCTTTTTTTTTTATTTTTCATTTCCACTAATCTTTTTTAAAATCTTATATTGGTTTGAATGCAAAATTCATATGCATTGTGTTTCACTTTCCTTCATTCACATTGTGTTTAAAATAATCTTTCCTATCCATTGTGTTTTATAAAATCAGTCACCATTGAACTACACCCACCATTACTTCTCTTTCCACTAACCCTTTTTTTTTTAAATTTTTTTTATTCCTCCCCTTCTTGCCTTCAGGGCTTTATCTTTGGGCATATGCTGCTCTTTTTTTAAAAAAAAATTTATTTTCTTAATTTTAATGAGCATTTACAGAGATTTTGGAATTCCATTAATTCATTGTTGCACTTTCATCCCTGCCCAGCCCTCCCCCCCAGTTCATTCCTCTCTTTGAAAAGTAAAAGAAAAATTCTTTCATTGGTATACAATCCCCCCGCACCCCACCCCCACCCCGCCCCAGTACACTCCACTCTGCAATCTTAATTCTGGACTCTTGTGATAACCATAATACCCTATCATATGTTGCTTTTAAATTGTTCTCTCCCTCATCTGTTTCAATGCAGTATACATAATTTATCCAGTTTTTCTCAGTCTTACCCCAACCCTGATGTCAGTCCCATTCTACAGCAGTGGCACCATGCAGTATTTGTCCTTTTGTGACTGAGATATTTCACTCAGCATAATGTCCTCCAGGGTCACCCATTTTGAATAATACTGCATGAGTTCCTTGTTTTTCAATGCAGCATAGTATTCCATTGTGTGAATATACCACAGCTTCTCTATCCATTCATTTGTTGATGGGCACTTGGGTTGTTTCCAGCTCCTTGCTATTGTGAACAAAGCCACAATAAACATGGGTGTGCATATATCTGCTTGAATGTCAGTATAGGCTGCTCGTGGCTGGTTATTCTAAGGGATGAGTTCTTCTCTTGTGTTGCTGTTCATCTCACAGACCTCTCTGTTGTTTGGCTGAAAGCTGAGCCACTGGGAGAGATTTGCACCAGTTTTGAAGAGCTTAAGGGCCACAGTCTTGGTGGTACCATGAGTCTCTGTCAGATTAGTAAGTCTGGCCTTCTTTATTTTTTTACTTTTGTGCACATTTCTCCCTACCCCACCCCTGTCCAGGGTCTCTTGCTGTGATTCCCTTTAGAGGGGTCAGCAGGGGTCTGATTACAGTTTGGGGGGGGGGGTTCAGCATTCTCATTGTTTCCATTGATCTTGCTTCCCTGTCCCTTGTGGCCTTATCATCTTTGCTTTGGGGTAAATATCAACTGTTTGGTCTCACATTGTTGATTGTTTAAGGGACTACATTCCTCACAGGTGACATGATTTATAAGTTAATGTGTTATTGACCTCTAGGAGAGGCTTCAGTGTCAAACTGAAAAGTTGCCTAGGGCAGTAGTCTCAGAGGCCACTCTCATCTCTTTCAGTCTGGAAGCTCTAGTCTTTTTTGGAATCTGGGTTGCTCTCACTCCTTCAGGACCTTCTCTTGTGTCCCTGGTCGGAGTGGTCAGTGGCAGTCATTGGGCGCCATCCAGTGCCTCTGGTACAGACGAGATGAGGCCGTTGTGGGTGTGATTGATTCACTTCTGGGCTCTCGATCCTAAACAATCTACATTTCTCACAAGTCTCTCGGGTGGTCCCGCTTGCTGCACCCTGAAGTTTGAGATGTACTGATTTGTACAGGTTGGAATATTTGGAGTTCAGATTATTCAGGAAAACTGAGGCCATCTGATCATAGTCTTGTGATGACATTGAGGCACTGCTGGAGGAGGAAGAGGCTAGGGCCCTTCTTCTATCCTGTCCTGTCCCTGTCAACCAAGGGTGACACCCCTACCCCTCTCTGCTAGACAGAGGTGAGGACCTGGGAAGGGAGGGGCAAAGCTGAGAGAAGAGTTGCTTTGAGAAAGAGGAGGAAATACTGAGACACACACACACCCCCAAAACACATCTGTCCAGGTGGAGTCAACATAAAACAAATGGGAACATCCAGAACAGGGAAGAAACAAATGTCCAGGAGAAAAAGTGGAAGAATCCGTGGAAGCCTCTGCTCTGCCTCGGGAATCTCTCTCTTTTCCCCTCCCTCTTCATTCCAGAGGGGATTTGAGGCAGCTTACAAGAATGCATACCAGAGACGGAGAGAGAATGCATATAGTACTATGAGGTAGGAAAGAAGAAAAAATTTTGAAGGAAAATAAATGTAGAATAGTGAGTGAGGAGAGGAAAATTTAGTCCCCAAATAGTGTTTGCTGAAAGACCCCAATAATGGTTCCTAAAAGGAGAACATGTTAAAAAAAAAAAAAAAAGGAGAA